CCCCCCCCCTCAAATTCTCTGCATGTACACACATGTTCACTTTTCATTAAAAAACAACAAACATTATTCAGTTAAATGTATTCATTGTCTTGGTTTATTACCCCCTCCACTCCCCACCCCCCTTACACACACACACACACACTCCCCGCACGAAGCACTTCTTTTTACGTTTCGTGGGGGATACTATTATACCGATAGATATTATCTACCACTTGATAAGTTTTAACACGCATTCTTGAAGGACCAAATAGTATATTTTGCCCCCTCACATTTCATTTTTGTTTATTATTCTTTACCCTTCAGGGAAAAAAACCTTTTCAATCAATTTGGCAAAAAGTCGTGATATAATTCGTAATGAGGCTGTCTTCATTTGTACCTGAACCCTCACCATTATCCATACAGAGTCTCGGGATCTTTGACCACGAACAACAAAATATTATGTTTCAAGGTGCTTATATCTCGTATGCTTGAAAACAGCAAAATGATGTCTGTCACATTTATTTTTTGTGTTGTTCACCTACAATTAATGCCTTCTATAAGCGTCCTTGGCATTCAAATGTTCCGCACTCGTAGGTCGGTCACTTTGCGGGCCATTTCGTTACCCCTGGACTCGCATGATTTATAGCATTGTTTGTGTAATAGCAGAAGGAATGAAACAGTCAAATGAGCTCTCCTTTTCGTTCATGATAATAATATTTACCTTTATCGAACGACGACAGCAGCTTGTTTTGAGCCACGGTTAACTTAGTAGGATGCGTGAAGGGCAAAGAGAAGTCACGGCTTGGTCTACAATGATTTTATGGCCCTTATTTGTCGAGTAATAATGAGCTTGCTGAAATGTGGGACGAGGTTAGAGGGGTCGACGAGGAATTAGGTTCCTGTCACCTTGATCCACTGGTGTTAATGTTGTCATTTTCTCGAGAATAACAGAAACACTTACCTCAGTGCTCTTGCTCAACGAGATGAAGGGCCACAAATCTCGCCCCCCCCCCCCAAAAAAAAAAAAGAAGTAAAAACCCTTCCGAACTTTTGCAAACTTTGTTAACTTTGAATCGAGTGCTAAATTATTTCATAATTAGATATAGGCTACAGAAATAATAAATAAATAAATAAATAAATAAATAAATAAATAATTAAATAAATAAATAGATGACTAGATAAATAGATAAATGAATCAATATATAAATTAAATTAAATGTAAATAAAAAATAGAAAAGAAGAAGCTTGAAGAGGGAGGGACGAAATGTGCAGTAAAAGCAGAAAGGTGAATATAAACGAATTAAGTGTGTTGGTAAGTTGACTGGCTTTTGGGCATTTTTTTGGATCGCATAAAGAACAAGCACCTAAAAACTGTTCACACTACCCTTTCAAAAAAGTATCCTGCGTTTATAGGAATCTGTACACACGTGTGTGTGTGTGTGTGTGTGTGTGTGTGTG